AATAATCAAATGTAAAAATGTATCAATATTTTTTTATATTTTTTTAAAAAAATATTAAATAAAATTAATAATTGTTTGGTTTCTTTTTTTAGACAGGTCAGGTCAGGTCAAATATATATTTAATTCAGGTCAATTTTATTCTGATCCGACCTGACTTTATCAGGTTGGATCAAGTCAATTATCCGATCTGACCTGACCTGTTCAGAACTCTAGGTCAAACAAACAGCAAAAATAAGATTTTTTTTCATTAGTATAGAATAGGGTTTTTAATGGTTTAGTAGCACAAAAACAAAAAAATATAATATCACTTGTAAATTCACATGATTTAAAAATTAAAATAAAAATTTTATTATTTTTTTTTTGTAAAATAATACATGAGAAAGAGCTGGCCGGCAAAGTAAAAAATAAAATAAAAAATTATAGAATAGCAGGTTGTTTCAAGGAAGGAAAGGTATGAAAGAACCTGTTTACTCAAAAACCTGCCAAGCCCTAGCTCATATACTAGCAATTCCTTTCCTGCTACTCTGGATTATTATTTAAGCTATTATCTAAACTATGAGCAATTTCTTTACTATTTACCCTCTCATAATTGATATCACTGTGCTAAATTTTGGACCTCCTACACCATAATAAAAGTTTTTCACAGTTTTTTTTCCAATCTTTTCTCTAATAAGTTCACGAATTTCACAGTTTCAAATGCATAATTTATAGTATCTCATGTTTTCTTATTTGAGTCAAAAACTCGCTTAATACAGTTCCTATTTTCATTGAGAGATAATATATTAGAATTTTCAGAAAAAGAGCTGTTACTGCTCTCATGTGATCTATTTGAAACTCCAGATTGGCTGATCATACTCAATTGATTAAAATCGACCTGAAGTCTTTGGCAATTGCATAACGTTGGATTATTTTATTTCAGAGAGCTTCAATAGAGGTCTTGACCGAAGTGAATTCAGATGAAATGTTACCAAAATTATTATGGCAAGCTTCTTTGATCTTATCAAGTCTTGTGTCATATTATTGATCATTGATAAAATTTTCTGCGTCTCAGATGAGTAGTCAGCGTCATATAAATTGATTTTAGCGATTTCTGCGGTAAGTTTATTATTATTTTTGCCAAACTCCGCAGTGAAAGAAAAATTAATTTCAGAAAGACGTGCGAAAAGTTCATTAGTGATTTTGGTATTAATTTCCGCAGTAAATTTACTAAAAATGTTTTTGATTTTCAATGTATTATTTTTTGTATCAAGATTATTGACAATTCTAGTAACACATGCAGAAAGTTTATCAGAAATTTTTTGTTTGAGATTTAACCATATGGTAGTGATCCTTATGAATAACACTGGACTGATGAACAAAAAAACTGTGGTTAAGATCAAAAAAGGCATGACCGTAAAGTTTAGCAATGACAAGCTGAATATGATTAGGTAAATTGATGCATAGTATTTTTATTAAAGATTTTATTGGTGGATCAAGTTGTTTAGATATTAACGATTGATTTTTTAATATGCAATTCTCTTGCGTAAATGCACTGGAAAAAGGTTTATTTTATACTGTATGCCTATTACGTGCGAAAAGAGACTTTAACCTGATTTAATAATAATCATATTGCTTTTATTATATGTATTTGTCATAATACATTTTTCATAATTACGTTGCTCGTAGGGTGTCTAATTGTTGAAATAACTATACATGACGCGTTAATAGTGTAAAGTCAGTATTATGAATACTAATAAAATACCGAGGAATTTGCTAAGATTGCACAAGCATCTGTCGATCTGCGGGAGATAACTTACCCTGCTAGTATTTCTTTTTTCGAATTAATGAGAAAAAAGAGAAAAAAGGTGGCCCCTATTCGTGCTTCATACAAATCTACTAACGACCTGTAAATGAAAATTTGTTTTATTATGTAAAATGTGGCCAGGTATACCCCTTACATATCATAGGATCAAGATCTGTAAATCGGTAGATTAAGAGGTGCAATTTCTATACTTGTCTCATTCTAACAATAGGGACATTGGATTGACTTATGTGACACCAATTCTAAGATTCGTAATATATGTATTATGCCAGAACCTTCTGGAAAAAGAGTCAAACATCATCATCGGATTAATTATTTATTGATATAAACCCACGATCTACTTCCTCATAGATTTATGGTATTTCACATACAATTTCAAACTGAGTCTACGTTTTTATCCTAAAAAAGGATGAGATCTTGGCCCTGGCTTCATTGTTACAAAAATAGCATATATTAAACATTATTACATATATAAAAATAAAAACACTGCGAAAATAGCATATACAGATACAGTGATGTAGTTAATATCTTTCTGCACATTTCAGGTGATCAGAATTATTTTAAATGAGGTTTTATTGATATAGAAAGTAAATTATATGATTCAGTGATACACAGATTTTGTTTCATAAAGAGAAATAGCATTTTATACTAATTCTTGCGGGGAATTATAGAGTATATGAAAATCTTGCATCAGACAATTCTTGGCAATAATTTTCTGAACTACTGTGCATATTTATTGTTGACTTATTGCTATTAAAGATGAGGGATGAAACTCAAAAAAGGCAATTAATAAACAGCCGAAACTATATTAAAACATAGTGAGAGGTACGACGAAACCCCGAAACCCGAAATTAGCCGAAACTATATTAAAAACATAGTAAGGGATATGACGAAATTATTTTGAGGGAGTTTCGGCTGGCATCTTTAATTGCTATAGATCTTTTAGAGGCTAAAATATAAATACAATCCACAACTCTTCACATTTCCCAATTCATAGTGCAAAAAAAATATTGAAAAAAAATTTAACAGTTTCATTATCAGAGATCACTATTATATATTATTATAACTATTCTGATCATTTTTTCTTTTTTTTGGAGTAAAATATGTATCTTGAATATACTTGATCTTGAAATGTTTTGCTTTTGAATTACCCAATCTTATGAAGAGGATGATTAGTCTTCGTCAGATCAGATTGTAATTTTGCTTTTTCAATGATATTTTCCTAATATATATATACTGTAAAATAAATAACTATTAATTACTATCAATTAACGCTAGTATCTCACCTTGAAAAAAAATAAAGCCTTCAATGCACTACGGAGACATTTAATATTCATAAGTTGTGTCGGAAATTCAAAAGTTGGACCTTCAAGTCCGAAGTACAACCATCATCTAAAAGTTCTATTCCTATAATCTGACTGTGTAGACCTTAAACAACCAAAATGTCAACTATGAAATTGATTCATTATGCAAATAAATTTTACACCTACCAGAAAACTGAATTCCTAAAATTTTTGAATCTCGCACTTCTTCATCAGATAACTCTCCATTCAAAAAATTATTTAAAATACCTTTTAATGTACGTAAACATTTTGACCAGTCATATACTATTTTCGTAGGAAATGGAATCTTTGCACATTCTGAATGACTTAGTTCAAGTTTATCTGCAATACGAATGATTCGTAAATCAATCTTTCTACGCCGATCGGACATTACATTGGAAAGTGTCTCTCCCCTATATACAAGTATGAAATCAATACTATTTATTGCTCATGTAAAATAAATGTGTTGGTTTTACCAGCGAAGGTTTATATATTCAGATGTATCATTAAATATTTCGCTCATTATCAGTGCAATCATCTCAATTGCATATTCGATTTCACTTATTTCTTGGCACTTTCCAGATTTATCAACAAAAATAAAAGCATTTTTTAAAAATTTGTCGATTCTGAAGTAAATTTAACAATATTAATTAGCGACTAATGTAGTTAAATCAAAAATTAAAGAAAAAATTTCTAAACTCACATAAAATAAATATTTGCTATTTATATCAACGTCTGAGAGGTATTGCTGGTTTTGATTTTATATGAATAATCTTGGGCTTCATTGTATTTGTACGCGTCACACATCTAATTATAGTCAAATAGATATAAAGATAAGTAAACAAAGTAACATGTACATATTCTTAACAGTCAATAAATGTTACTTTTCTCTTCAATGGTGCCTATTACATTTTCCACTTCCCCCTCAAAACCTTTCTATTTCATATCAATAATTTCATAGACCTTTTTTTTAATATTAGTCCAATCCTTCTCAAACCATGAATACATTCTGTCTTCGAACTCAGATGATAAATCAATTATTGAAGACAATTCTAACCTGTATTTACCATGTTAGAAATTTTCTTATTAGTAACTTTGAAAAATATGAGACCATACCTGATGACACTTTTCACAATTAGGGTTTGCTCTTTTTTATCTTTGTTTAGAAATAGTTTAACCATTTCGGAAGTCTTACTATTAAGAACTTTAACAAGTTGCTGACCATTTAGTAATTTCCACTCAGAATCTCTTTTACTTTGATCAACATAATCGTCAAACGAAGCGGTATTTATATCAAGGCAAAATCCTTCTTCCTCAATTGAATTATCATCTTCATCGGATTCGCTATCAGAACTAAAGATGATGTATCACTAAATATAAGAGAAGATATAATATTAATTTATTAAGATTTTTTTAAAAAATTATATAAATCAGTTTTTGGTAAAAATAAAATATTAGCAAAAAAACCCAAACCTTAGAGAATTAATTTACTTTTAGAATTAGCAAATTCAGCATGGATTGAAATTGCTACAGAAATATTTCAAAAATTTGGACCATTTTGTAAAGATATTGATCAAACATTAATAGATATATTAGATAATTTAACACCTGCAACTTTAGATATCTATAGTAATATATTTTGATCTGGATCTTATGACCAATATATAAGTATAATTTTTGGATTATGGACATTTGCTTTAAGATGGGAAAGAAAAAATTATAACAAAATTCTATTAGCTTTTCTTTTAGATATTTTTTATTGGAAAGATAATAATCATTCATTTTTTGAAGCAATTCAAAATTATCTTGTTAATTTTAATGATTATTATGTTGAAAATTAGCATAGTAAAATTAAAAGAAATACAAGTTTTCAACATTCTTCAAATGCTATAATTTCTCAAGCAAAAGTATTAGAATCACATGATCAATCATTTTTTAATACTTTTAGAACATTTGAAAATTATCCTTATAAAGAATCTACTGTAATAGAAGAGTCAACTGCAAATCATATAACAACAGAATAAATCACTTGATCTACTACGCCAAATATCTGCCATATCTGCCAGTTCTAGCAGATCTGTAAAATACGCTAGTTACGCACTATATGCCAGAAAAATAATATATGTCAGATTAGAGTTTGGAACCGGTTTTATTTTAACAAACTGGTTTTAAACACTTTTTAATTTGAGACCCGAATTTAAACTGAATTTATATAAAACTGGTTCAACTGGGCATTCAGTTGTAATAAAACTGAAAACTGAATTGCGATCTTAACGATTTTTGAATTTATTATTATTAAAAGAAAAATATTAAGACACATTATATGACAAAATGTTAACTAAAAAAGATTAGATCTCTTGAGGTGGAAA